CTCTTTTCCATATGTCTCTAATTTGGTCCTTCCATAATCAAAACTGAAACCTCGTGCTCTATTTTTACCAGATACTAACTCGGTGACCCACCAACCTGCGGGTCATATCGTAATCTGTTTCTTACAACTACCTTAAACACCTTATGCAACCACGATCCTCCCCTTTAACAAACAAAACAGTAACCCTCTGAACTGGCTGAGGATAATTACTTCTGTACAATCCTGCTTCACTTGATTACACAGCATCCACTTCATCCCATTTGTCAATTCCAAAAATAAAATGAACTCTGGTGGCCCAAGGGCATGTGTTTAATTATGAAATGATAGAGGATGTCTGTAGACCAAAAGAGTATTGATCTAAAAGAGTGACTAAAAGAGATATTTTCCTGAAAAAATGTATGAAGTGATTAAATGTGAAAAAGGCAACCCAGCTCTCTTGAGAAAAGGCAGATGGTGCAGGAACCAGAGGGAGAACTTGCAGTTACCAAACTGAATAACTATTTGTTAATTTTACTATTAAAGCAATAGGACTGCATCACATGTCCTGTTACTTTGCATAATCCTGATTTGGTTGGTTTATATATGGTAAATTACCTGTTATCAGACAAATGTACAAGATAAAACTCAACTAAAGCATCCAAGTCAAAGGTGTTTAAACAAATTATTAGATTCACTGATCAAAACTAGTAGTTTAAACTATCACTTATGGATTCTGATGTGATGGTGACAGTGACTTGATAGAATTAGAACTAGAATACAGTGTCCTTAATCGTCCCTGAGATCCATTAATATAATTAGCATCATCTATTTGGAATACAGAAAGACGGAAACTTTGTATGTAAAGAACAGGGGCACATTAATGCACGGGCTACAAGGGGCTGAAGCCTACACTGGAAAGAGGGCATGCAGGGAAATTATATTTTTTTAATAATTATTTATATGGGAGTTTGCAGCAGTGACAACAGCGTTCTGTAAACAAACTCACACACTCATTTTTAGCGATGCCCTGGTTAGCCTATATAGTGAATGGCTCAGTTTAGGTTCCCCCCAAACAGTTTGTATAGTTGGTATGTTCCACGTGTTCCATCGATATACTGTAAGCGGAATGTACAATGCATTCGCTAGTAAATAACCGCAGCACGAGAGTATCTTTATGTCGACATGCAGATTAACAGAAACACAACACTGCTGTGTGAAAGGAACCGGACAACGTTCTGTAACGTCATGCAGTGAGAGTTCAGTAACTTGCTTGGTTGTAATCTGTATTATGTCATCTGGGTCCCATAAATAGTGTCAATTTTAAATCCGGGTCTCAAAGTCTCCATTTTAAATCCGGGGAATTGTCCTATTGCTTAAATGTGATAATTAAACTTTATACGGCTGTGATTTAACTAAATAAACGTGAGCACGTCATGTTTCAAAATAAAAACGCAGTTAGCAATCACCAAATAACCCACATTTATGTCAAAATGCTGTGTGTTTTGCTCTACTGATGATAAATAATTAATATTTTGTGTGATTTATGGTGTTTAAATCATACCTGTAAACTCACATTTCAGCCAGGAAAGTTTTGATGGCATTTTCGTTTCATATTACATCCTTATAATGCCCGTAATAACGTAGTGTTTACTTTATGTAACGGCTATATAATTCTGCTGTTCCACAAGCGCCATCTTGTGGCAAAGAGTACATTTGCATATTCGCTTATATTCACATTTTACGCAGAGCAGTGTTGTGAATGTTAACTGGCATATTAACAAAACAAAAAACGAAATTTGACAAATAATTGTTAGGAAGCTTAAAAAAAAGAGGTTTTCTGGGGTCGGGGGACCTACAGCCCAGGGGCCTTTGGTTATCTTAAGGCGCCCCTAGTAAAGAATATTAACTTTAAAATACAAATGATTCCAGAACTACACATTTACCACTTGTTACTTTCCCTGGTTTGGAGACATTCTAGAATAAACAAATTACCGGTGGCCCTTTCATAAGACATTCTGGGCCAATTACAGCTCTTATGTAAAGTATCAATTCTGCCTCATCTCACAAATAAGCCTAGAGATAGAAGTCATTTTTAAATTGGCTGTGGAAATGGAAAATGTAAATATGTTTAATCCTTACAAATAACTAGCTACAAAAGAGACGAGACTTGCAAGATTAGACTTCATGTTGAGAAACAACATCTCAGTGGATGATTTTTTCTGCCAGCATTTTAATTGGTATGCTGCTCCTAAAAATAGTTTATGCAAATCTGACATTCACATCAGACTTTGACCAATAACATTTCCCTGGAGTTACTTTCTCAGAACACAGATATTTTAGAGCTCCCCTTTATTTAATCATTTTCCTCAGTGCCAATTATTACTTGGACTTAGCGACAGCTTGCCTTCAATGACTGCACAGCTGTTTCCATTAACTGACTCCAGATTTTCTTAGTTGCTATTTCATTACTGAATAATTTTTCATGCATTAATTATGCAGACATTTGATTTCACAATAATGTGAACTTAAATGCTCTGCCTTTTCGTCCAGTGTGTACAGTGCTGCACACTTTCTGAACACCTTGTTGTTGGGGTTTATTTTATAATAATAATCATCATCATCTTACTGTAAATTTGTAAACATGCAATTAAGCAGATGTTACAAAATACCACAATTTATTCTGTTTAAATGGGTCATATGATGCGATTTCAAGTTTTCCTTTCTCTTGAAGTTTTTCTTTTAAATTACCACTTATTTGGAAGGAAATTGTAACCTCTGTATTTAGAAAGATTTAGAAATAAAAAGCATTTGTTATATTGCATTTGAAACCTCTTAGAGACAAATAAAATGTACATCTCAAGATTTATTGTAAGAGTATTAAAATCAAGAGTAAGCTGCGTCAAAGATAAATATATCAGTTATATTTTAAAAGTTGTAATAACTACTATTCTGTTGTATTTTATTCTATTCTATTCTGTACTTATCTACTTATGTAATTCTGTTTCTGTTTCTGTGGAAACTTACACACACACACACACACACACATGGACATCAATCCCAGATTACTGAGCAGCCTACAATAAATAAATCAATAAATAAAGAATACATAAAAATATAAACGATGAATGATAACTGTGTGCAATTTATAACAAAATGTAAATAGGGCTAGCCTACAAATTGACGTCAAACAACAACAATCGTCCTCCATTTTTATTTTTATTTTTTTGATAATGACTTGTGTTTATAATTAATTACCTGTGTTTTTGTATTCCTCAGGTTTTTTTTTTAATTATTAGATTGAGACATAAAATGTAACATTTTTCACTTTTTTTTCCCCAGCGCCTTCTTTATGAATTGTCTGCGTGAAAGACCGATGCTTTATTTTGAAATGTTGAACGTGAAAGTAACCTGTGGTTTCCGGCTTCACCAGACAGCTGAGCTACATTGTAAACACAACGCCTCCATTTTCAAACCCGTCCGGAGAAACATCGCACATCATCGCTGAACATGGGGGCCGTACTCGGGCTTTGTTCCATGGCCAGTTGGGTAAGTTTACATATTAATATACTGATGATATATAAATATAATCGTATAGATACGCGAAGGTAAATAACTATTTGGTTTTCAGCAAGTTTATCATGTGTAGCTGATGACATCCGCATCGGGAAAGAAACGAAAGAGAAAATGGTGTCTGGGCCCTTCGCGATGCTCTAACGTTACTTTAATAAAACCCACCGCATCTGTTGAATAATTACCAAGAATGACACATAACGGCATATTAATTAATTTCACTATGTTTTGGTGTGATTCAAATCAGTCGTTTTTTTTGCTTTACTAACGTAAAATGTACAATGTCATGTTGGGTGGTTCCCCTGTTGTGATGAAGCACAAAATGTTTTTGTATTAATACAGACAATTGTGTATTGTTATGTTTTGCATAATTTGTATCACCAAGCGACATATATTACCACTTTTCTCTGAATTGCAGCCAAATGGTAATAGATAAACAATGTGTTGTCGGCGATTGTGATCATGAAAGCAGCTCATTGTCTATGATTTTTGGGGTGTTTTAAATGGGACACACATACAGATGATATTCCACCATAACATGAGGTTTTCAAAGAAGGTCACATGTTTGTTAGGCTGTTGCGACATCAAAACACCGATTAGATGTAAGCTCATGAAAAACACACAAAGGAGAGATGAGGAAACATGGGGCCCGAGGTTATGTAACACTATTTACTGTTCAGTAACACTTAAAATGAACTTTTATTCATGAACAAGTATTATGCAATGATGAGACATAAAATAAATTAATAAATCTGATCTTTTGAACTTTATATTCCTAAAAGAATCCAGAAAATATTACAATTCCAAAAATTATTAAGCAGCACAACTATTTTTACATTGATTAAACGTTTCTTGAGCACCAAATTAGCATATTAAAATTATTTCTGAGAATCATGTGACATTGAAGACTGGAGTAATGGCTGCTGAAAATTCAACTTTGCCATCACAGGAATAAATTACATTTTAAAATCTATTAAAATAGAAAAAGTTATTTCAAATTGTAATAATATTTTACAATATTACTGTATTATTGACCAAATAAATGCAGCCTTGTTGGGCATAGAAGACTTCTTAAAAAATAAATAAATGTATAAATAAATAAATCTTTGTTCTCAAGGACTCCAAAATTTAGCAGTGTGAACTTTTTTTATAAGATGTTTCTCCGGATGTTTATTTTAGGAAGTATTTAAAGCTGCAGTCCGTAAGTTTTGCCTCTTTGTCGCCATCTCTGTTTAAAAACCTGGAATTGCAGCTGTGTGCGGAATTATCTAGCTTGCTGGGGTTGTGAGTCGGCACGGCTCCAGCGCGGATGAATCTAATGTTCTGAGGAGTATGTGTGGCAGTCAGTCACGCACCGGTGTGGATATATTGGCTCTGTCCCAAATGGAACACTTCATGTGCACTTGCGGTCTTACGGACTTACAATGGCCGCCGCGTGCACGTGTCTGTTAAGTCCACGATTTTTGAATGTGTAGTTGAATGACAATCACGTTCCACCACCTTGTGGCGCAACACTGTAACTGCACTGACTGACAGCCCGTCTAGAACGCGCGCAGGTGGAAACATCAATAGCCTAATGATCTTATTGTCAGGTATGTTCTGTTATGTGGACCGTTATTTTGTCATTCTCTTCTGTTTACTTCATTTCCTGTTTCAACGCTATTTGGTTTCGGTTTCATTGTCTTCTGAATATGATGTTAGTTATATCGTAACACACATACACACACAAATTATATATATATATATGGCGGTAATACCGCATACCATGCTATTGAGCCACTCAAAATTACCGCAAGGGAAATTCCCTCACCGCGACAGCCCTATATCGAGTTCGATACCTAAGGGGTTAATCTCATCAGCGTCAGTGAGCCAATAAGCCTGCAGCACTCGCTGGTGTGTTCGACTTGAAGAGGTGCAGCGCAGATCGATCAGTGTTTGACATCCGCGAGAGCGATTCGAAAGCGCATGGAGCAGTCTGCTTTCTTTAGCTCTCGTGGTACTGTAATACACCGATCAGTCTGCACATTCAGTCCGCGTCAAGTCGAACACCTACTAGTTTATACCGGTTACACTCAGAGATGTGGCGCACACGTGAGGCTGTAGTGCGAATGCGTCCCAGCCCCCTTAGATGTAAGGCTACATTTACATTTATGTTTTAAAATTAAAAAGATCCTCGTCATACTGGCGTTTCCATCGCGTTTCAAGCCTGCTTTCCACTATCTACGACAAGCGACAGACCGGTCATTCAGTCATTCATTTCCCATGGAGAGTAGCGCGGGAGTTCCGATCATATGCAGATGTCCGTTCATACTACACGACTGAAAGCGCGTGTTATGTGACCATTCATGCAAACTGTAGCATAATGCTACATAAGACAATAAATAAGATTTATATTCCGCTTTTACTCAAAACTCACTTTAAACCACCATCGAGTGTTTGTAATAACTTCCGATTGCCGTCTAATGTGTGTTTTGGCCATGTAATGTTGCTGAAATTAAATATGTTATTACCTGTCCTCTGACTCAGAGTCAGAGCAGCGATCATGGAAGAGAGAACACAGGCAGACAGCGCTGGAAGCTGCTAATGCTCATCAGTAAAACTGGAAAATAAATACAAATCATGATTCTGTCTGAGCTATGCGTTTTAAAACGAACACGCACTAGTGTAAATTAGGGATGCTCCGATCCGCCTTTTTCGCCTCCGATACCTAGGGTTCGGTATTGGCCGATACAGATACCGATCCGATACCAGTGAAGTTTTTTCCCCCCATTTAAATAAATGTAGAATTGATATATCTCTGTGTGTGGAACTGATAATCATTCTTTCACAATCTACTAGATACAGACTACTTCATTATAAAGAAAAATAAAATAAACAATACATATGAAAAAATATAGGCATATGTATATTTATAATTTATGACAAAAATTTATAATAAACTAGGTTAGTGGATAATTCGGCAGCAAAAGTTGTTCTAGAAGATGAGTCTTTGAGTTTGTATAAACATTGACAAGCTGAAAATTTTTTTTTATTTTGTATAATGTAATCTTGTTAAAAGTGATTTCATAAAATTGGTATCGAAAAAAGTATCGTTCAGGAACCAGTATCGAAGTCAAGGTATCGGTATCGATAATCCGCCACCTGCAGGATCCTCACATGCGATAGCCTAGTAGTCGGGACAACTTCTTTATGTTTACAGACGTGACGTAATGACACAGTGCCATGCTCGAATTCCCTGCGAAAACCTACCCGTACCACTCAAATTAGAAAACATTATTATAAGCTGTGAATCTGGCCAAAGTAAGGCGATAGTTTTGAACACTGGCTGGTTATGTACTTGCTCAAATATTGATTTTGGATAATTTTTAACCAAAAAAAGTTACGGACTGCAGCTTTAATGTCCTCTTTAATCACATCTAAACGCTCTGTTTTTGTTATGTAAAGCCAGACAAATTTAGGCACAAGCTTTGCCTGGTGTTTTACCCTGAGTACAAATGAGGGATGAGGCTTCTTGAAGTCAACATGTTTATGCGTCAACCAGCCCTGCTCATTTTGCAGAATGACGCTTTTTAAGTCTAGAGATAATTAATTTGGCATCTTATTGGATATTGAGATTTTTATTTGCATTGCATTTTTAATAGCACGTTTAAAAAGCATTATTTACCCATCATTCATATGTTACATTGTTATTGTAAGACCTAAATTAATTTACAATATTTCGCTTCTTTTTGTATTAAAAAGTGTCATTTATCAATTAATGGCCGAATAATAATGAAAAAATAATATTGATTTTATACTTATCAGTCACAATATCATGCACAATGCATGCCTAATTATGTCTCATCCAATGCTTCCTATATATATTTAGGGTACTACCTGACAGATTTCATAGAAATATGTATACTGAGATAAAACGATTATGATAGCCCTAGGGTCTGAAAAAAAAAAAATCTGGTGATCTGAAGCGGGAGTGTCTGGTTGAAATTAGCAAAACATCTGAAATGGCTTACATCACCTTTAATGTGCGTTTTTTATTTATTTATTTATATATATATCTCCTCTGCAGATCCCTTGCCTTTGTGGCAGTGCTCCTTGCCTGCTGTGCAGATGCTGCCCGAGTGGAAACAACTCCACAGTCACTCGGCTGATCTATGCCTTCTTTATGCTGCTGGGTGTGGGCATCGCCTGCATCATGCTCATGCCAGGCATGGAGGAGCATCTGAAGAAGGTGACTCAGCAACGTTTCTTGGGAATTAAAGTTTTATATTTGTTTTACAGGGTTGCAGCTGAAGCATTCTGATTGTGTGTCTGATTTTCTTTTACGTCACTGCAGATTCCAGGCTTTTGTGAAGGAGGAATGGGGTCGTCCATCCCGGGAGTCAAAGGTCATGTGAATTGCGATGTGCTGGTGGGCTATAAGGCTGTGTATCGTGTGTGCTTTGGGATGGCCATGTTCTTCCTGCTCTTCTCTCTCATCATGGTAAAGGTCAAGAGCAGCCAGGACCCAAGAGCTTCTGTGCATAACGGGTATGTAGGCGTTGGTGTGACCTAATGGTTAAAGTCTTGACCTCTAACTCAGAGGTTGAAGATTTGAATCCTTATGAGCGAGACACCGGTTTAGCTGTATTAAAAACATGCAAATAATTTCAGGAATGCTTCACTAATCTTCAAAATATTCATATCTTCTACAGGTTTTGGTTCTTCAAGTTTGCGGCTGCCACTGCTATTACAGTTGGAGCTTTCTTCATTCCTGAAGGCCCTTTTACTACTGGTAAAGTTTTATTTTATTGCCTTAAATATAAAATATGCATGCAATTACATGATTTACAATGTAAGGGCAAAAGGTGACTTTAAATGGCCGTTTAACACTATCAATAGTGACCAAATTAAAAAGTAACTGCTAAATATGTGTGATGTAGTTTTACATTAAATGTACATTATACAATCTGCAGTGGGATTTATCATAAAAGATAGCAAAACCTGCACAGTGTTTAGCCAGCTTAAGCAATGAGAGAGTGAGATTAGGCAGACTTGAGTTGTTCCTAGTATTTATTTGTGAGGATCTAATGATGATCTTCTGCTGGGTCTCTTCCAGTCTGGTTTTACATAGGCATGGCTGGAGCGTTCTGTTTCATCCTAATCCAGCTGGTGCTCTTGATCGACTTTGCTCACTCTTGGAACGAGTCCTGGGTGGAGAAAATGGATGAGGGAAACTCTCGTTGCTGGTATGCAGGTACGCATTAAGAGAACTTGATTTGTTCAGTCCCACACAAGTATCCCCACTGTAAAAACAGTAATATTTTGAAATCTTACTACAGTTTAAGTTTTTTATTATAATATATTCTAAAATGTAATTTATTCCTGTGATGGCAAAGCTGTATTTTCAGCATCATTACTCCAGTCTTCAGCGTCACATGATCCTTCAGAAATCATTCTGATATGTTGATCTGGTGCTCAAGAAATATTTATTATTATTATCAATGTTGTAAACAGTATTGCTGCTTAATATTTTTGTGGATTTTTTATTTTTTTTTATTTTTGATGAGTATAAAGTTCAAAAGAACAGAATTTATCTGTCACTTCTGATTTTGAATTTGTTGCATCCTTACTGAATAGAATTATGAGTTTCTTTCCAAAAAATCTTGCCGACCCCAACTTTTTGAATTGTCATGTATATATTTTACATAAATATGGTCATAAATATAACATATTTAAAGTCATAAATACAATATATTATTTTTACATTTTAACATTATATTTATAAAGGTATTATCCCCGTTCTCTGTTTAGATACTTACAGTGTATGCGGTCATAAAGAAGATTGATTGTATTGTTCTAACGTAATTTTTTCTACCATCCGTAGCTCTTCTGTCTGCCACAACCATCAACTACGCTCTGTCACTGATCTCTCTGGTCTTGTTCTATGTGTATTACACTCACTCCGATGGCTGCACTGAGAACAAAGTCTTCATCAGCATCAACATGCTGCTGTGCGTTGGTGCATCTGTCCTGTCTGTCTTGCCTAAAATCCAGGTAATGAATACAAAACGTCTGTTTGTATGACTAGTATTGGAACTGTGATGATCTCCTATACTTAAAACTGTACTTAAATCCAAACTGGTTTGGATGTGTGTCATATCAGGTGAGCATCAAGACTTAAATGATGTCATTTAATTTCTTTGTCCTTTTCTTCCTTTCCTCCTCCAGGAGTCCCAACCTAGGTCTGGTCTCTTGCAGTCCTCCATTGTTACTCTGTACACCATGTATCTGACCTGGTCTGCCATGACCAATGAGCCTGGTAAGGATTGAGAGAGATTTGTTTAAAGGAATATTCTGTTGTTCATAATATCAGTCTAGAATAATGATTTTCTTTTCCCCAAAGACCGCAGATGCAACCCTAGCTTGCTTGGCATTATTGGACTCAACAGCACCACCCCTGCTGGTCAGGACCGTGTTGTTCAGTGGTGGGATGCCCAGGGCATTGTGGGCTTGATTTTGTTCCTGATGTGTGTGCTGTACTCCAGGTAAGAAAGTTTGTAATTTGTTAAAAGATATGACCTATTTTTGCAGCTATTATTCAATACAGCAGTCAAATCTGTCTTTTTATTTTCCTCAGCATCCGCAACTCCAGCAATTCCCAAGTGAACAAACTGACCCTCACCAGCGACGAGTCTGCTCTGATCGAGGATGGTCCCGCTCCAGAGAACTTTGAAGTGGGTGATGGCACCAACCGTGCCATTGACAATGAGAAGGATGGAGTCACCTATAGCTACTCTTTCTTCCACTTCATGCTCTTCTTGGCTTCTCTGTACATCATGATGACACTGACAAACTGGTACAGGTATGTGCCCATGTGATGATGTTTTTATTAGTTTAAGTGCACAGTGTATTGGTAATCATGTTTTAGTTTGACTAGGCCAATTTTGGAAGCAGATAAAGGGCATATTTTCAAATAAAGTACATTTACCTATTTTTCCCACAGTATAATAAAACGTTTGATGTTTGATTTCATTTGCGAAATTCTGTATATAGAATTAAAATGAATTCAATTAAAATATTGACTATATTAACTATAGCAGTTTTCAATATCTACTATATACTGTATGCCTTTTAAAAGTTTGGGGTCAAGTAAGATTTTTTTGGAAGAAAATTATACTTATATTCAGCAAGGATGCATTAAATTGATTAAAAGTGACATTTTAAGCATTTAAAATGTTACAGAAAATTCCCATTTAAAATAAATGCTGTTCTTTTGAACTGAAAGAATATTTATATTTTTAACAATTTTTTAAAAATGTTTTTTTTTTTTTTAACTAAAATCTTGGAAGTAAGCAGTTCTATTAACAAAAACATTTGTATATGCAATAATGATTAGTTATTGCTCTGTAATTTTTGTGTCACAATTTATATTGAGATGTTTATGGTCGTCAAAGTTTACAGAATTATCCTTAAACTCTTAATTTTTTTTCCTGTCAATTTATAGCCCTGATGCCAATTATCAGACTATGACCAGCAAGTGGCCCTCTGTGTGGGTGAAAATCACCTCCAGTTGGATCTGCATCTCTCTGTACGTGTGGACCCTGGTGGCTCCGCTGGTCCTCACCAACCGTGATTTCGACTGAGAGGACGGATAGAAATAAAAGCTTGCAATTAGAATCCGCCATTACTTATGTGAATATCCACATGTATAGGTATAGTAGGGTCTAAATGTAAATACTTGTGTTTTGTTTGTTCAGCTGACCCTACATGTGTTGTTGTTGTTGTTGTTTTTTTAACCTTGCATGCTTTTATGTAGGTGTTTATTAGTTCATATAAGAGCTGAAATAAATGAAGAACATGGCTTGGGTTTCCTGTGATGTGATGTTAATATTTCCTTCAAGAATGTGTTCTTTTAAAATTAAGGATAATGTAACCTTGATTAATAATCTCTGTATGCTCTAAAAAAATAAATACAATGCATCTTAAGTTATTTGTGGAGAGTAGTGAAAATGCAGGTCATGTTTTCCCATAAATCGTGACATTCATAGTTTCCTGTAGAACGCACATATAGTGTTGAATTAGCATGCGAAAATGTACAGGTAACTTATAATTGTAGATTTTGTCATGCATTTCGCTTCTTGATGATTTGCATCACAAACATGACTGTAACAGCGCTAACCATTTTGCAACTTGCACATGTTAGTTGTTTGAGCACTATTCATTTTATTCTTGTAGCCAATGTGTGTGCTGAACAATGTTTTGCACTGAATATATTATCCTTTACTGATAAAACCTGAATAGATGATTTGTGTTTTGCTTTACCCTTTATTGTATTAGGCAAGTTGGTGGTTTTCATGATGGCAGTTCTCACACAATTTTTTTTTTAATTAATGTCAGTGTTATTTTTTTGCTTTTTGACAAGTGCATTGTAATCAACCAACATGTCATCTTATTAAAGGTTTAAATCCCAGATTATGTTTTCATTGGGGTTTCAAAATATAACTGGGTAATGACAGGTTTCATGATTTAATTTGATTACGGTTCAAGTTTCCGATACCGATTTACCTAGAAATATCCAGGTACATGAGATGAGATTTTTTTTTTAATGGAAAATAATCTCACAAATAATGGTGTAACTTAAACTGTGAATCGTCCTGTTTGGTACATGGTCCTGTTCTAGCTAACGTGCTATTTATGTCTTTACTGGCGTAAATTTAATGTTCGTGACATGTTCACAACACAAACTGGTTTATTGACGTCTTTCCACGGTTGAAACAATTACGTGAGATACTATATATATTTCAGCTGTACGGTATTTAAAAGTGGAAGAAATTATCGGTTCACGTGAGCTCCCGCTTCTACCAAGACGGAAACAACAATCTTTCTCGCTACAAAACAGTATTTTTTTTATTTTTTATTTTGTGATAAAACGGTTAGAATAATTTCTGATATTTTTAAAACTGTCAAAGCTTATTGCAATTATTTTGGTTAAGTTTTACAGACGAATCAGGACTAATAAAGAAATAATTTTTTCTTCTTCGTTAAAATCATGAAATAAACATTTCAACCCAGCCCTATTTGAAAAAAAAAAAAAAAAAAAGAGTCAACGTTTAAATTCCTTTAATGCAACTGCAAAGCTTTGTATAATGATGAAAATCTCACGGTAACAAGAATCACTGTATTGTCCAACATTATGGAACTAACCATAAGCCAAAGTCTTCACGTCTATTTACAGTGACATTAGGACATCAGGCAGGCACTTCTATACCATATACATAAAGGATAACTAACGTTTTCTGAACTGTTCAACAATAAAACGGAAACACAAGCTTCACAAAACAGCTGCAATATAAATCAGCAACATAACTAGCTAATGAACAGTAACTAGAATTATCTGTGAAAGGAAGGAATGTCAAACTGAGGGACAGATGGTACCAAAAAAAATTCTGGCTAATAAATATCATTTTGATGAATATTTACAAAAAATGAAAAAGTCAAGTCCCTGTTTTCCAGGCTGATTCGCTTTCAGATATCAAGCTGTGGCGTGTCGTCACTGGTCAGGTCGGAGTTCAGTCCACACAGGTAGAACAGCGTGGTCTCGCTCGCCTCCGCCTCTGTGAGGGGCTCCAGACGGATCAGAGAGCTGCGAGGCATCTCGGTCTCCAGGGCCTTGTCCAACAGGTCTACGGGTTCTTCAGGGCTCTGGGGCAGGATAGGCTGGGTCAGGTTTTCAGCTGGAGGATCTGATGTGGCCAGAGGGGTGCATCCATCCAGGAAGGTCAGCAGAGGGCAGGTTGTGTACTGGATCAGCTGCTTATCTGAATGAAGGAACCGACACGCTAGCAAACGCAGCACAGCGAGGTCATGACAGTAGATATTATTTTACAGAGGAACATGCAACAATTACCTGTGTTGCCAGGCTCAGACTTCCCTTTGTTGATGTTACCCTTTGTTTCCAAGACAGCTTCCTGAAAAAACAGCAAAAGAAAAAACAAGAGCTTTATCAAAAATATGACAATGCAGAATAAAATTAAACAGGTCATCGTGGTAAATTATAGCAGCTGATCAATGTATCAATGGAAATTATTTTTGAGATTTTCAACAAAATAAGGAAGTAAAAATAACAGATGTGTGGATACAAGGGCTTATGAAATCTCCAAACATACCTCTATGATATCTGGGTCAATGCTGAACTGTTTTCCATACAGCATAGCCTGGAAGTCTTCCAGACTGCAGTCAATACTGTCCAGATAGTCCATCAACTCAACTCTGTAGTGATTTAATTTACAATGAAATATTCATTAAATATGCTTAAAGCAGAAGTGTCTCACCAATAAAAATAAAAAAATAATAAAAAATAAAAAGAGAAATGTAAAGCTTAAACTTTGTTGAACACATTAATTACTAGTTTAATTCAAATGGAAGCCCATTTACACCACGAGGCAAAAAAATAAAAAATCATAAATATGAGATACTAAGTATGAGGGGGAAAAAAAAAAAATCTAAATTATGAGAAAAAGCCATAATTATTAGATAAAAATAAATAAAATATGAGATGCCATAATTATGAGATAAAGTTGAAATTATGAGAAAAAATAAATTATGAGACGAAGTCGAAATTGTGGATTACCAAAACATTTTTTTTTCTTATGTGGCAGAAATTGGCTTCCATAAATATGTTCGCAGAGTTAGAATAATAGTTGTTTACTCAAAACATACAGCAAGAAACAGCTCATCATGACACATATCAAATCTCAGCAGCCTTATATTGAATATGGGCAACACTGGCCTACTTACTTGCCAAGAAGGTTTATGTTTTGTGAAATAGCTCCATTTTCGCTGAGAATAGAGTCCATCAGCTTCACTGGATCCTCTGAACTTAGACCTGAGGGTTTGTTCAATTGGAGGGTGCTTAATGAAATGTCAGAGGTGCTTTTGGGCACTGCTTCTTGTTGAGTGGTTGAATTTGTTACACTTCCATTTGTGCTGTCGTTTCTTATAGTCGGGCTGCTTTCATAAGCGACTTCCACAATTTCAGCATCTCTGTAAGAAATCAAGAAAAACAGACCTCACTTTCTAATTTTCTGACACAAAACCTCATGCAAAAGATGTGCGATGTTTGAATCAACCCCTAAATGCTTACACTTGGTCAGCCGGTACCGATACGTCATCTGTAAATTCCGCATCTTCGTCTGTGATGTCACAAATGATGACATCTTCAGAAATGTCAGAGGTGTTTTTCAATCCATTGAGTCCATTCACTGGGGACTAACAGAGACGGAAAGAGATGAGTCTCTGACAAACAGATCTTCAAGTTTCAATATTAATGAGGAATATCATGTTTATATAAATAAATCGGTCCCCCACCAACGTGAATTTAACCGACGGTGATTCACACAATTTAAGGTTCATATCCAGTGGCAGGACAATTTCACACAAAGTGAACCCTGCCTCAAATCTCATCAAGAGAGAAAAATGCAAGATAATGAATAGCAACATTACATTTACAAAACAACTGACAACACGTTTCCTCCTGGGAAGGAGAGTCAAAGTGCATGGAACCTAATCACCCCTGGATGGTTCTAAACCTACTTTGCTGTGGTCCATAGGTTCCTCGAAGATCTGGTGGATGAATTTTGACTTCTTTCCATTACTGTTCAGAGTAAGCGGTCTGTAATCAGAAAGCAAGTAAGGTGCATATTAATAATAATAAAAAGTATATCAATATATGTTTTTAATTCATAAAAATAAACCAAAATGATATTTTTTTAAAAATCCATTCTTTCTCTCTCAAAAATTACTAAAAGAATAATTTATGAATCAGAAAAAAAATATTTTTTTACAATTCTCATCTTTGATAAAGATACTTGGTCAAAAATATGACAATATGAATTTTACTTAAACTATCGTTCAAAAGTCTTGGGTCTGTAGGATTTTAAAAATGGTTTTGAAAGACATTTTCTGCTTACAAAGGTTGTATTTTTTAAATTTAAAATACAGTAAAAAGCAATAATGTAAAAATAATCTATTGCAGTGAAGGCAAAGCTGAAATTTCAAAAGCTATTAATCCAGACTTCAACAATTATTCTAATACTCTGATTTGGTGCTCCAGAAACATTTCTTATCATCATCGATGTTAAAAACTGATGTGCTAATTAAAAACTGTTAATGGGGATATCAGATGCCCACTTTACACAAGTTGGTATGATTCTTTAGGGTCTTCATGAAATGTCTGTAACATACTTTGGTTAAAATTCCTCTGTGGTCGTGTAAAACAACACCCTTTTTACCTTGTCAAAAACAGCTGTGTTCACAGCGACCCGTTTCGGTGCATGTCTCTTTAAATGCTAATGAGCTGCTCACCCTGCCCCTCTCTTATGTGGAAGAAGGCGATTTGCAAATAATCATAAAAAATATAAAGTTTGAGACTTACTTCTTCCTGAGGTGCAGCTGGATCATGAACAGTGGGTACTGATCCATGCTTGAGTTTGAACTTTTTAGCACCTGCCTTGAATTGTCCCTCACTCAGAGAGCAGTCTTGTGTAGAATGATTTGTGCTGACATAAACGCATTTAGATGTATTCGGTGGCGCATTACCATTAAAAACAAAACTAATCAACTGCGTCCTCAGTGGATCTGATGTCAGGAGAAAATGAAGACTCTTATGTTCACTTTTACATCGCCAAGAAAATGGCAGACAGCGTACAACTGGCTGAGGGCGGAGATATGCTAATACGGGACCGTTCGTTAGCAGTCGTGGGCGGAGCCTGGGCAGTATGACACCATATTGCTCAGAAAATCAAAACGCTTGATAATTGAGACTGTTTAGGTTTTCTAGGGATTAAAAAAAAAGGAGTGAATGGATTTTTATCATTGTAGGGCGGTTGTGTCCACACACTGCTAAGACACATTTATATGCAAACACCATGTTAAAGTGAATTTTGCAACCAATGTCCCCTTTATTAGTTTTTATTCAGAATTCTTTGATGAATAGAAAGTTCAAATGAACAGCATTTATTTAAAGGGGTCATGAACTGAGAAATCAAAATACCCTAGATCTTTTGACATATAAGTGGTCATTGTACTATAAAAACATCCTGTAAGTTTCAGAACTCAAAACTTTCCAAAATGACAGGTTGTGGAATGTGCCACTTTATGACATAATAGTGTGGCTAAACTCTTGCTGCATCCGAAATCACATATTTCTATATAATAGCCAAAAAACAGTATGTGAGGTGAGTAGTATGTCCGAATTCATAGTATAATCGAAAAACAGTAGGAGAAAAGTACCCAGATAACCTAATTCTAATTTGCATGCCCGAGAGTCGTTTCAAAAATGGCCGCCGAGCAAAATGGCTTGTCTTAAAGGGACTTTGATTCGATGGACACTTTCCTATCCCATGAGGCCACGGTAGAGGATTTATGAATGGCAGTGAAGCGACGCAACTGACGCAGGTAGGTCATGTGACA